GGTGAGAGGGGCCCGGGGGTGGCTCCAGGGGGACCCCAGGCAGGGGCTGCCGCGGCTGCCACGGGGCTCTGTCCCCCCCCAGGAGCGCGAGGCGGCCGCGGAGGCGGAGCAGGAGCGGATCCGCTGGGAGAAGGAGAAGGAGCTGGCCCGGCTCAGGGCCACCCAGCAGCGGGACCAGGACTGGCAGGCGCAGAGGGTGAGTGGCCCTGTGCCCAGCCTTGTCCCCAGCCCTGTCCCCTCCACTGTCCCCAGCCCAGCCCTTGGAGCCCCAGGATGTCTGGAATGGCCCCAAAGCCGTGTCTGGGTGTGGAATCCCCCCTGTGCCCACCCCAGCCCTTGGAGGCTCTGGAAGGGCCCCAAAGCCGTGTCTGGGTGTGGAAAGCCCCCCCACCCCTCCACTGTCCCCTCCCCTGTCCCCCCTGGCCGGGCAGGACGCCCTGAGGGCCCAGAGGAACCAGGAGGCTGCGGATCGGGAGTGGCGGCGGAAGGAGCTGGAAAAGGCCCGCAGGAAGGCGCAGGAGGAGCAGCAGCTCCAGCGGGACCGCCGGGAGCAGGTGGCCCACCAGGAGCGCAGACTGGCCATGCAGGTGGAGCAGGAGCGCCAGGAATTCCAGAGGGTGCTCCGGTGAGTCCTGGGGGGCCGGGGGGTGGGGGCGGGTCCCAGTGACAGCTGGTGGCTCTGGAGGGTGTAGATACCTCTAGAACCCCATAGAGACCCCTAGAACCCTATAGACACCCCTAGAACCCTATAGATACCCCTAGAACCCTATAGACACCTCTAGAACCCACAGACAGCCGTAGAACCCTATAGACACCCCTAGAACCCTATAGACACCCCTAGAACCCTATAGATACCACTAGAACCCTATAGACACCCCTAGAACCCCATAGAGACCCCTAGAACCCACAGACACCCCTAGAACCCTATAGACACCCCTAGAACCCTATAGACAACCCTAGAACCCCATAGAGACCCCCTAGAACCCACAGACACCCCTAGAACCCACTGACACCCCTAGAACCCTATAGACACCCCTATAACCCACAGACACCCCTGGGGCCTCAGAGACCTCTCCAGAACTCTGTAGACACCTCTAGAACCTTGTTGACACCTCTAGATCCCTGCAGACACCCCTGGAACCTCAAGAGACACCCCTAGAGCCTCATGGGCACCTCTGGGACCTCAGAGACACCTCTAGAACCTCACAGACATTCCTGGAACCTTCTAGACACCCCTAGAACCCCATAGGCACCCCTGGGACCCCGTAGACACCTCTAGAGCCTCATGGGCACCCCTGGGACCTCAGAGACACCTCTAGAACCTCATAGACACTCCTGGAACCTTCTAGACACCCCTAGAACCCCATAGGCACCCCTGGGACCCCGTAGACACCTCTAGAGCCTCATGGGCACCCCTGGGACCTCAGAGACACCTCTAGAACCTCATAGACACTCCTGGAACCTTCTAGACACCCCTAGAACCCCACAGACCCCCCCTGGGACCTTGTTGACCCCTGTAGAACCCTACAGTCCCTCTGGAACCCCACAGACACACCACACCCCCCCTGTGGGACCTTGATGGCCCCTCTAGAACCCCCCATCCCCCCCGGTGTGCCCCTCAGGGTGCAGCAGGAGCAGGTGGAGCGGGAGCGGCTGGAGCGGGAGCGGCGGGCGGGGCTGGCGCGCGCCCACGCCGAGGAGCTGCGGCAGCAGATGCGGGAGCGGCGGCGGGAGCGGGAGCGGGAGCGGGCGGCCTCCCTCGAGGAGAGCCACCAACACCAGCACCAGGCCCGGCAGCGCCGCCGCAGCCTCGCCCGCCTGGGGCAGCTCAAGCTGCAGGAGCTGCGGTGAGAGGGGAC